GTATTCCGTTACTCCCCAACACTGGAAACAGTGCATCATAGGATGCACCTAACAGCATAGGCCTATTGCAGTGTAACTAAAGGAGGGTTGAAGGTCACCTAATCCAGGCCTAACCTAAAGTTTTATCAAAAATGAAAGGTTTAAACCCAATCGTAAAAGTAGAGAAGATGTCTGTCTCCTGAATCCAAAGTGCGAGCTGCTATCACAGAACAGGGGTCTCAATGTCATGCTTAGTCTTGTGGCAGGCAGGATGTAGGACCCAAATGCAGGACTCGAGACACGTGGGGATGAACTAAAGGAGGCAGCTTTATTGCGCTGTGAAAAACTCAAATACTAAATACAAGAAACAAAGCATAACACCTAGAAACTAGGAAACCAAGAACCCAGGAAACTAGAAAACTAGAAACAAAGAAACTAGAGATTAGGAGTTGACGAGAAACAACAATGGAAACCAGGAGCATAGAGAAACATGCAGCAATGTGAGGTAATGATGCGACAACGGGCAGAGGAACACACAGGGCTTAAATACACAAGGGAGTAATGAGACACAGGTGAAGAGCACAGCTGGTAATCACACATAACGAGAAGGAGGGGAAGGAAAAGTGAAAACAGTGAGTATGGAGCCAGACTGTCAAAGTAAACCAGGAAACATGAGACAGCATAAAGACGCAGACGTGACACTGACACATGGAGACATGGAGACAGACTGGGGACACATGGAGACAAGCGTGATGGGACATAAACGTGCAACATGGAAAGGCATAGTAACAGAAAGCTAAAGACTAGAAACTAACATACACGAAGAACAATAAGAACCAAACCCATGAATAATACTAAATACTGGGTCACAGACACAGTGTTGTGACATTGAAAACCTCCCGTTCTACTGTTAAACACTCCTGGAACCACAGCCTGAAGCGAAGTGCTCTGTTGGGGTGATAAGGTATTATGAGGCCAATGCGATGAGAAGAATTTTAAATTCAATTCTGGATTTATAAGTGAGCCAATGAAGATACGTCAGTATAGGAGAAATATGCTGTCAGTATTCTTTCTGTAACATTTTGGATCAACTGGAGTCTATTAGATAGATATGATACAAACCACTGCAG